TTCTTATATCAAATGGTAATAAAGATACTGTATGAATAAAGTGATTTTTTGACGTACGCACAAACTATGCTTACACTTGTTTCATTAATGTTTTTGAATCAAAAAGTGAATGTTATTGTTATAATAACAAAAAAAATAACAATAACTTTCTCACCCCTACTCAAAAATGATGAACTTGTTTGACACTAGTGGTACTGTAACGACAAACTGGATTGAATAGCTTTTCGCCATTCTCGGCAATGATGTTTATTCAGCTATTTCACATATCCAGAGTGTAATAACTTCATACATAACACACATATATATAGGAAAGAGATAGAAGAGAGACAGGAGAGAGATATATTAGAACAATGGAAAGAGAAGGAAGGAGAATCATCAAAGCGTGCCATCATTATCGGCACAGGTACAATATTAGTTTTCCATTATCAGGCATTTCTAATTGTACTTGTCTCTAGCATGGTTTGAGTAAAAGCCAATCTTCAGGTTTACTAGATCAATAATTGTTTTATAAATATTGTATTTTAATAATAAATTGAGCTCTTCTCTCTTGCATAATTATAAGTTGCTTTTTTTCGGAGTACTTTTGAAATGATTTCATTTAGCAAGTTTTGTATAAAATTATGTTAATGTTCTATATATTTTTAGAACCAAACTCAAACTGCAAAACCGACCATGAGAATTGTATCTTATTCAAATGTACAAGTTATTCCACGAGTTATCATTCAGAATGGTACTAGATTCTTCTTAGTACGTATACAATACTTATCATAGTTCTGATAATTTGAATAATTTTTCATTCTTACTCTTTACTGTTTAGGTGACACGAATGCAATCAAATAGCGTCAGATGAAAAGAAAAAAAGTTGAACCACAATCTTCATGAAGGCATTTTTTTACCTTTCATTTGTATCTTTCGTTCAATTTTCTTTTTCATATGATTTTTCTCTCAACTGTACCTGTAATACTCTAAATGGTTCCTATAATTTTACAGTAAAACGTCAGATATAAAAAAAAAATTATTTCTAATAAATTTTTTCCTCTACTGATATTTAAATGTACTGATCACATGGAATTAGTTTATTTTTAACACTGATGATGATATTTTCATTGACCACTTAAGAATTAGTTACGAACATCGATTAGATTGAATTTACAATGCTGCATTCTTTTTTCGTTGTAGAACTTGAAACATTCACGTTCTCTCGAAACTGAATGAAGTAATAAGTATATAAGCTCATCTAAAATTTATATATAACTGATGACTAGCATATAGTGACAGCTATCAGTAACATTCTTGATATATATATATATACATATTGGTATAGTATGGATCACGGACTACATTTTGGTTCACGCCAATTTTGGTTCACTTCCTATGACCCTTGTAAATTGGAAACTCCTTTCTACGACGTTAAATATCTTGATTAACTTCCAAACATTCTCGAGTACTTTATCTTTTTATCAATCCAATAATTGATTTATTCCATCAAGAATCTTCTCGATTTATTTGCATCATCTAATTGAAAATAAAAGTGAAACTGTTCTTATTGCTAATCCACTATCATGTAGTAAAACAAAATTACTCGCACAAATATTTTAATAAGCTTTATACTGACGAACCTTCACTAGTCAACGATCTTGCCTCTTGTCTTTCCGAATTCTTGTTTTTCTTGGTTATCAATCAAGATTCTTTTGCTACTCCTTTCAGAGGTCGAAACAGGCCTCGTCTTTAAGGCCTGTACGGTCTGTCAAGTTTTTCGAGCGAGTACAATAATGATGGCAGACTAGAAACCGTAGATCCAAAGAGGATACTAGGTCTATTGCTCAACGCGATCCTGACCCGACTGTCATCGGCATCACCCATGATTTTCCGACTAGTGAAAGTCAGAGCTTCAAGCAATTTTTGGCCTGTCGGTCTATCTGGGCCTGTCACTTTCATTAGTCGGAAAACCATGGGTGATGCCGATGACAGTCGGGTCAGGATCGGGTTGAGCAATAGCCCTAGTACCCTGTTTGGACCTCTGGTTTCTATTCTGTCATCATTATTGTACACGCTCGAAAAATTTGACAGGCCGTACAGGCCTAAAAACGAGGCCTGTTTGGACCTCTGACTCCTTCTATACAAGATTCTTTCCTGGAAAAACAGATCTTGACATTCTGGTGATATTCTTGTAGACCGAATCTTGTCTGACAAAGCAAGAAATGCCTTGCCAGGCAAGATTCTTGTGTTCTTGTATTCTTGTCTAATTCTTCTTTTTCTTGAACTTCTTGTCTGAGCCCTTTTTCTTGCTTTTCTTGTCTGGTTCTTTTTTCGTGCACTTCTTGCCCGCTTCTTTTTTGTTGAAATTCTTGCCTGATTTCTTTTTTTGTTTCTTGAATCTGACGCATTTATTAGAAAAAACAATAAATTGTTAAAATTAATTTATTTACATAAAAATCAAGGGCGAAAAAATGATAAAATATTTTATTTACATAAAATCAAGAAAACAAGAAAAATTATTAAAATATTTTATTGGCATTAAAAACACATACGTACTGTTATAATTCATGTTTTTGATATTTTTATATTTAGAATCAATAATGGTTGATATCTAACGCCAAGTCGTTGTTGTAATAATGTTGTTATTGGAAATCCTAAAATCAATAATAAATTGATTCACTAGTGTGAGTCAATACATGTATATTTCCTATTAAATATTTTCATTTACCTGATATCGACATGCAGCCCATACGTTGTTTGAAAAGAATATCTTTTGTCTATTTAATTGAGCACAATAATCAATGACTATCGTCGTATAAAAATGCATAAATAACGTATAAACGTTGATATATATATAGATACATGCACACAAAGGCATCACGTGACGTTTGTCTTAAAGATCAGAGAAGAATCTTTTTTCTTTTGTCCCAAGAGCCTTGTGTGAACTTCAAGAAATTCTAAATATCTTGTAATTCCTTCCAGATTCTTTTTTCTTTCCTCTTAAAAAGAATCTTTTCCGAAGTTCAAGATGAAAAAGAATCTTGAATGATTGATCAAGAAAAACAAGAATCTGGAAAGAACAATGGCAAGAACGTCGACTAGTGTTTTCTTATTGAACGTTTCTTTTAATTGTTTTTAATTCATTCTATTAAATCACCACCTATACAAGAAATCTTATTTCAATATAATATTCAAAACAAAAACTATTAAAGATTATCAATGTGATGATAATCTTTGAATCTTACTCAAAACAATTTACATGTGAAAAATTAAATTCTATTCTTCATATATTATTTCATGCTGTTTATTTAGATAAAAAAGATTATTCAATATTAACAATATGCCGTATAAAACTGTTTTAACAGATATTCAAATTCTCAATGATTTATGTAATTTATTAATAAATATTTAACAAAAAGTCACTCATTGTTTATGAAACTTAAATGCAAATATTAATGAAGATACTCGACTAGATCAACAATTAAAGTGTTATTTAACACATGTAGAATTATTATTACTTTTAATGGCAAATAATGTTATTAAACATATGGATAAAAGATTATAAAATAAAATTAATCGAATAAATAAAAGTGATGATGAACATAAGAAATATCGTTTTTTCGAAAATTCGAATGATTCGTGCTTCGTACCGCATTTCGCATTCGAGAGAATCTCGAATACCATCTAGTTTAAGTTTCGTTTTTCAATTTGATGGAACTCAGCAATCATTTCGAGTCCACGAACAGTTTGATAATCAAGAAGTCTTACAAATTAAGCAAAAAAATTCAAATCATTTTGATGTACAAAGTCTATGTATAGTCATGATTGAAGATCGAGTTATTGTCATTATATATACTTATGTTCTATCAATTAGGTTTTTAAACAGAAAAAAATTCCCTTGTATCATTACTCCAATCATATAGATTGAATTACAGTTGCATATGTTTTATTAGTTAAATAAGATTAAAACTTTTTTTTCAACCATTGACATCATTCTCATGAAAATACTTTTTTTTTAATAATATTGATTTAAATAAAACGTTCTATAGAATCACATGTAATGTCGACCTCTATTTTCTATTTGCAGAATCTCAAATGGGCAAAAGATAGTTTCGTACAGAAAAAGTAACATCTAAAGGTGTGCAGATGTCAAATAAACATAGTAAAATGATAAGAAAAACAATTTATAGTCATGATACTGCTTCCACGTAAAAATACTAACAGAAATAAATTTATGATTACAAAGAAAAATCTATGCGAACATAAAATATGACTAATCCATTTGAAAGTAACAAGACCACTACATAATTATGAATAATCTCTTCTACAAAGATTCTTCATTGCTATATAACTTTAAAATCTTATAGAAATGGCTTTTTAGTCAAACTTCATATCTATGTTTTAGTGACGTATGTAGAAATATATCAAAGTACAAATATGTTCTTTACCATCTATATTCTACCAATGAAATTAATTTTTTTATCATTGTTATTCTTGCAACCGAATATAAACTATCGTTATCTCTTACCATAGTTAAATTATTTGTTGAAGATGCGTCTTGTGGTGTTTCTTCTTGTCATAGTTGGGTGTTGGTGTGATGTACGAGTATTAATAGATCAAAGTGGAGGATACAATATTACTGTTAATAATCAAGTATGGCTTCGTTCATCTCGTACAGCTATATATACTGATGCTCGATGGTATTCAACAGAAGATAATTCTCTTACTTTGGTCAATGTAACTTTTGCACAAGGTGATGATCCAGATTTAGGTAGTTGGAATGAAACAAGAATGACGTATAATCTTGTTAGTAATCAAACATCTACTGCAATTACTGCTCATATACGTCAATGGAATATTGTTTCAGCTTTTACTTTTCGTTTGCAGACGGGTGATAAAGTTCTAACCGATAGAATATCACTTGATATGGAACAAGTTCGTACTGTATTTCCATCATTTTATATTGAAAAAATAGGTATGAATGATCAACGAGGATATTTCACATTTGAAGGTAAAATCTAAGTTTTTTTTTCTCTTTAGTATATTATTTTTATATTTGAATATTAATTTTATTTAGGAGTAATGTCAGGTGAAAGTGATAAACATGCAGGTAATTGGAATGCATCAAGTAAAGTTATTAGATCTGGTATGCAAGGTGGTCCAGT